AAGCTCTACACCCACAGAGTAGGTTTGAACAATTTTTGAAACCCACCACTGAAGGACTGTCACAGTGAGGTTCAGTCCATTCTCCAGAGCACCTGAGGGCAGGACAAAAAATAAAGGATGGAAACTTATCAGAGAGATCCAACCTAAGAACTAAGTAGAAATTTCTTGACGGTGAGAACAATTAATCGGGTGTAGAGCTTGCCTTATGGAGTTGTGGGTGCTGCATTACTGGAGGTTTTCAAGAAAACATTGTACAGCCTTTGTCCAGGATAACTTAAGGTCTCCTTTCTTGGTCAGGGGGTTGGTCTAAAGACCTCCAAAGTCCCTTCGAGCTCTATAATTTTATGATTCTAATTTAATTAATTTGAATCATGATTAATCCCCATATCCTTTATAATTGTCCTCTTTGGTCACCAAATAATAATAATCAGCAGCAGCAACTTTGAAAAAGTCTGCTACAGCTGCAAGTTAGGAACCCTATGTTGAACTTTGAATAAATAAATTGCAGGGATATTCTGATAGAAAGCGATCTCTCTCTACTTGTCTTCCTTTTTATTCTGAAAACTCCAATGATGTATTTAACTCAGCAAATAAAATACAGAGGGACACAGGTGACACACAAATCCTTCAATTTTTTTTACCAAGTCAGAGAATGCAACAATCCTTTTGATGTTAAAAAAAGAAATGTAGCCAAGAAATATTAAAGAGCTCAGCCCTATAAAGCTAAGTATGTAAAATGACAATTCTTTTTGAGCAAGATAAACCTGACCTAGTGCTCAGGATAATACTAGATAATTCCATCTTTAAAAATGCTGATACAGCTGTTGGATTTATGGAGCACTACTCACCAAAATGGCCTACGTCTTCACAGACAAAGGCAAACTTATTGTCTGCTCTATCCTTATCCTTTCTCGTTGATTGGAACAGTAATCAAAACCTTATTGCAGTGTTCTGGAAATCTGCAGTTATTGTGCAATGAAACAAGTGTATTGTCCAACATGTTTAATTTCTCTGGTTAATCAACCTGAAAACCATATACCACGGGTGTCAAACTTGCGACGTCATGTTGTCATCACATGATGTTTTGTGGCATTTTCCCCCTTCACAGAGTTTGGGTGGGCGTGGCCTGCACATGATGCATCCAGCCTGTGAGCTGCCAGTTTGACAACCGTGGCATAAACTATCATACCCCAATCTCACATGCTCTTCATTGTGGCTAAATATGACATCTCGATCTGTATTAGTCATAAAGCTTTGCTAGCGCTAACTAAAATTTAGAACTATAGTTTCTCGGTCTTGTATTAAATTGAAATACCAGTCCCTTAACCAGAGAGAACCCATAAACCATGGCTAAGTATTTGTATAGTTGAAGGTATTGCATTTCACATTTAATAGGTGCATTTGTATGCAACATGTTCATTGTGTTATGGACTCATTTCAACACACAAAGTCTTTCAATTCAAGAAGTACAGCTAGAATCACAAAATATGTTTGCTGGAAACTTGGGGAGAACAATCTGATAGATCTAAAAATAATTCAGAAATGGCATGGTTTGAGTAACTTTATTATAATATGCACATCTCAGAACAAGGTTTCCAACTTTTTTATTCACATTTACAAAATATAAAAATGAGGTATGGAGAAGTAAAGTCAACATGAATTTTCTGGAGTAATTGTAGTTACCCATTCATCCAAATTAAATTGTGTTGCATTCTCAAAACTGCTCACCAGCTTGCTTCTATTTTCTTATTAATAATCAAAACATTGGTCTGAAATTTCAAGATTCAACTCAGTTGGGCTTATTGTGTATGCTAAATAGATGAAAAATGCTTTCAACACAATTGGAATATGATCATAGCTGACTATGTTTTTAGCAGCAGGGTAGGAAACAGTTCAAATGAATTATTTGATTTTCCTAATTCAGTAAAGACTCCCCTTTCAAAATGCTGGCTTATTTAAAACAGTACAATTGGATAAGAACAGAAGGAACCCAGTTTTAATGCCTTACTTGACTTACCACTGGGTAAGTTTAAGGCAGTAACAGACCATCTTACCTTACAAGATTGCTATTGTTAAGAATAAGAATGTTTTCTTGAGCAGTCAAGCTCCCCCCCCCCACTTCATAAATGAGTGAGATACTTATATATCTCTTCTTAAATTTTGGAGAGCAGCAACTCTAACATGTTGTAATGCTGTCTCCATACACATTCTGGAGGGCCAATACAAAGCAGTCCCATATGAGCTGAGATAGTGTCCCTATGAACAAGAGGTCATTGAAACCACAACTCATATCCTGTTATATTGTATCCTCTATAAGGATTTATGGACCCATTTTATAACTCCTGACCTGGTACAATACCAGGAAATTCTCATCTTTTATGTACCTCTGTTACTAGCACATAAATATGATACAGTGTCCTTGAATATAGTTAAATTCTGCTATACTGTCTGTAAAATTAGACAGATTTGCTGATCATTGATGCTCTTATCACTAATTATACTATACTATTGTGTTTTAACAGAATAACAGAGTTAGAAGGGAGCTTGGAGGTCTTCTAGTCCAACCTCCTGCTCTGGCAGGAAACCTATACCATTTCAGACAAATGATTATCCAACCTGCCCTTAAAAATCCTCCAGTGTTGGAGCACATTGTCAGGAAATTCCTGCTTAGTTCTAGGTTTGTTCTCTCCTTGATTAGTTTCCATCCATTGTTTCTTGTCCTGCCTTCAGGTGCTTTGGAGAAAAGGTTGATCCCCTCTTCTTTGTGGCAGCCCCTTAGAGATTGGCACTTTGCTGTCATGTCACCCTCTAGTCCTTATTCCGTTCTATTTTATTTTATTTTATTTTATTTCAATATTTTAATTCTGGTCTGTGACCATGATAAGAGATTTATTGATTGACTGTAAGAATCAAAAATCAGGGGCAGCTACTTGCAAGGTGCTCTTAGTTTCTCAGAAGAACAGAAAAAAGCATGTAAAGAAGAAATGGAAGATTGGAAAATATGACTCTTTCTCTGTTAGGCATATATAATGCTTTCCAGCAGGGTTTGCAATGTGCTAAGTGACCTCTTATAGAAGAAGGAGAGGCAGAGATAGGGGACAGAGTCAAGAGAGCAATCAGTCTGCCGTCATTATGTTCCCACAAGTGATCCAAGTCCAGCCCCCTTGAATTCAGTTGACTTTTATCTAGTGCTATTAGTTGACTATATTCTTCCGTATACCCATAAGCAATAAATCAGCTTAATAGGAACTTAGTAAGAGGTCCTTATTCTTCATGCCTGACATAACTAGATGTCCACACCCTGATTTTGCTAATACATATCTTTAAAAAAAAAAAAAGAAGGTGCATATTTGCGGATTTCTTTGCAGTCAAATCAATATGAAAGGGATTGGCCAATCAGGCAAATTTTACAGCCTGGTCATTTAATTCTGGGTTAACAGTGTTTGCAAAATCTTTCTCTTATCCGATTGACACAAATGTTTTTTTTTTTCATCTTCTATTATTTCTCATTGCAGACCTACCATAATTACCATGTGCTGGCCTTGCTTCAGACGCTGGTGACAGGTGGGACCAGCCCAGACCTTGAAGAATATTTGGAAGAGGGGAGTTCACTGACTAGCAATCATAGCAATGCCTTGTTCTTGGGACTTAGAAATAGATGTAAACTGGCTCTTTTAACATTAGTAGATGATCCAGAGTTAATGGAAGGGCTGCGGGTAAGTTTTGTTAGCTGATTTAATTCAAGCTAATCCATTTTGCTCTCTCGGATAATTGTCTAATGAGTTAGAAAGCTAAGCATTTGATAGTCATGAGTTAACTCTTATTATGTGGCTCTAGATGACATACTTGAATGTTGCCAAGCTGATCCTAAACAGAACATTGAAATCAAGATTCACATTTAGAACATTATACTGTAGCCAATAAACAAAGCTTCCATCAAGGTTATTTTATACATGTGTATAAAGTGACCTGCATTTGAAAAGGAAAAGTCATCTCTATTTGTATTGGCCACAACTTTTCAATTGTTCTTATGCAAGATATCTTCAGTGGGTCTCCACACTATATCTATCTGAGTATGATAAGTATGATACATGAGAAAAATAGCTGGCAAATGAACAGCTGCTTTTACAGATGATCAGTGGCAGTGGTATAGGTAAGAATGCACTGTTCACCTGTTTAGAAGGAAATTTTGATACCTTTCTAATATTTCTTTTTAAAGTCCATTGTTTGATAAAGGACGTGAATTGAATTATTGCCAGCTCTAGGACAGTGTAAGCAACCCCAATATATGTTACTAAGTTTTCATTGTGATTCCTTCATTGGATGGAATAATTTTGTAAACATAAAGTGTGAACTAATCAGACGCAGCTCTAAAGATGGATAGATTATCCTCTCTTTCTTGATATTTCTGTGGATTCATTCTGCTCAGCATTCCACGTCTGAATTCTTTGCATAAAAGAGTTACTAGAAACTGCCAATTCTATTTCTGACTTTACAAAAAAAAATTCCTAGGCCAGTTGTAAATTCTATTCAGCCCCATATTTATGGATCCAAAAAACTGTGTGTTTTATCATGTACCATACCTTCAAAATATCTATTTTTTAAATAAAAGTATCACATTGGAAATATCTACAGAAACATGGAAATAGCTGGAAATAATTTTCCGCTTGCTATTTTCCCAAGAAGTGATGTGGGAAACCCACCTTTTTTTGAGCTATGATCTTCTCCTTTTAGTTTATGGGTCTTCCGTTAATCAAGAATGCTGATATAGAATCAAAAGTGTTTTCTTGTTTTGCAGCTCTTCTTCGGTGATGTGTTCATTAAAGCCCTTGATATGTATGGAATTCTTTGCTTAGGTATCTATCGCCTGAAACCTCACCCCAATCCATATGAAATCAGGAAAGTATAGTTAAATTGAATTTTTTTCATAAAGGTTTAGCTATCTACCTGCATACACAGCAATAAAATATTGGCATGTTCAATAATATTTCAGAAACTATATGGAGTTTGTATTTTGAAAAGTAGCTTTGGGGATGCATAATACAATGAAAAATCATCATTAAAGGACAGGATTGGGGAGTAGTAATGAAGTAACGAGCTTTCTTTTGTCATATGAGTTTTATTGTTCTCTGTTCAATCCTCTTTTACACCCATTTCATTCAGCGCATCTTGTACTACAATTATAATTAATATATGGAGTTGTCATGCGATGCAATGGTGACTGCTGGCTCAATTGGTTTCAAAAGGTAGTGAGAGAAATTCACAGATAGCGAGTCTTGGTGATTTTTAGCTGTGACAGTGAGGTGGAAGACTCCAAATGAGTGTTTCTTGCTTGGGAGAAACAGAAGGAGGAAATTCTTGATGCCCTGATTGGGATCTTTTCCTGGAGACTCTCTAGTTGGCTACTAGGGTAAATAAAATATATATAATATAACAGTATAGATCAGGGATGTCAAATTCAATTTCATTGAGGGCCACATTAAAAAATTGTGTTTGACCTCAGGCTTCTGGGCTGGGCCAGTGTGGGTGTGGCCTGCTTGATGTCACTCATGTCAGGGTTGCCTATGGTAGCCCAAGCACTCTGCCAGCGAAAACGGGTTCCTGAGCTCCATTTTCTGCTGCAACGGCCTCCTGCAACTCTCTGCCAGCAAAAACAAAGCTTGGGAGGACCATGTATGGCCATCTTAAGCTCCATTTTACTGGCAGAGGCACTGCAGGCCAGGCCTTCAGTGTTTCCAGGGCCCTTTGGGCCAGATTGAAACACCCCATGGGCTGGAACTGGCCCCTCGGCCTTGAGTTTGACAACCCTGGAACAGATCATGGTTCTCAATCTTTTCTTTACTCTGACCATGTCCATAGACCACCAAGACTTAAGTCTAAAAACCACTGCTTGAGAACCACTGTTATAGATATCTACAAAATGGACCAGACCTCTCAACTACATGGTTGAGACTTCCTTGAGGGAGTATCTTCCAGATCTGTTGAGACTTTAGCATCCATCACTGGAGTTGACACACCACAGTTTTTTTAGTAATATAAGTCAGAGGCTGAATCTGTAACCTTCTCGTTCATAGAGAGCAAGAATTCTTATATTATTCCATTAACCAAAGACAACTTCCAATTGAGAAATAACTCAGAGCATATGACATTAACACAAGATGCCTTATAGCCCTGCCAAATGTTGCTACATTTTCTCCTAACATCCTTTCAAGTTTTTTTCCACATAAGTTAAGCAAAGTTACTGATGTAAGTTTAGGATTTATCTATTTTTTGGCTTATTTGCTAATCTACTACTATTGTTGTTGTTGAAAACTATGGCATTATTATTCCATAAAAGCTGCTCATCATCAATGTCTTATTTAAAAACCAATTCTGTTACTCTCCAAGATATTGTACCATTTAACTTGTCAATGAGAGGAACCAGTATAAGGTGCTTTTTTTAAAATTTAATCTAAGACAGTGTTTCTCAACCTTGGCCACTTGAAGATGTCTGGACTTCAACTCCCAGAATTCCCCAGCCAGCGAATACTGGCTGGGGAATTCTGGGAGTTGAAGTCCAGACATCTTCAAGTGGCCAAGGTTGAGAAACACTGATCTAAGAAATCATGATTCTGTAAAATGAATTAAATTTCTGTTTGTTAACTTCTTTCTTTCCCTTCCATGTTATGTAAGTATTCAGGTCTTTGAATACAGTGACTTTGTATGTTAGTTGCTCTAATAAAAGTATTGTTTTATAAATTTGTTTTTTTTCTTCATGACCAATACAGCTATTGTTTTTAATTGATTTCTGTTTTATTGGTGACTTTTCTCCAAAACAGGTTTGTGATTGCTCGGCCACCCGCTAATTTTGAGCTCCTCTCTTCTGATCAACTCTTTTGCCTTGTTCCATATAACATTTTATTCAAAGACCTAACAAACGTAGTGAAATCTGTTCTACCAAAATCTCAAAGGATTAGCAGTCAGAAGAAAGAAAAAGACATTTACTATACAAATAAAGTCTTCTTTCTTTAAGAAGTGTCTACAACCATTTGTTTTAAGGTTTTTTTAACCCCAGAGATTTGAAGTAATGTTCAGTGCAAACAGGAAGGATCATTCATAAAGTTGAAACATAGAAGATTTGTTCAGATCTATACACAAGAGTCTGGTCAATTAGTGTTGTTGTTGTTAATTGTGAAGTTGCATCCGCCCCGTTATGACCCCATGGACAACGTTCCTCCAGGCCTTTCTGTCCTCTACTATCCTCTGGAGTCTATATAAGCTCACACCTATTGCTTCAGTGACTCCATCCAGCCACCTCATTCTTTGTCATCCCTTTCTTCTTTTGCCCTCAATCGTTCCCAGCATTAGGCTCTCCTCCAGTGGTTTAATTAATGGTCATCATTAAATTGGCACTAGATAAGGGTCAACAGAATTGAAGGAGGAGTGGACTTGGATCTTTGGTGGCAACCCAAGAACTCTAAACCAGTGGTGAAATTCAATTTTTTTTACTACTGGTTCTGTGGGCATGGCTTGATGGGTGTGGTGTGGCTTGGTGGGTGTGGCTTGGTGGGCATAGCAGGGGAAGGATACTGCAAAATCTCCATTCCCACCCCACTCTGGGGCCAGTCAGAGGTGGCATTTGCTCGTTCTCTGAACTACTCAAAATTTCTGCTACCGGTTCTCCAGAACCTGTCAGAACCTGCTGGATTTCACCCCTGTTCTAAACCGATGATACATTTAACTCTACTGCCCATCTCTGCCTGATCTTCTCCCACATATACAGTATGAATGTAGAAGCAGTCTGCTACTTACTTGAAAAGACTCCAAAACTTAATAACAATTTGAAGATGACATTCGCCTACCTGATACCATCTTGTTGATAGTGTATTTTAAACATGCCTCCTTTCCCCAGAATTGGTTAACACATGGCATTTTCCTTAGGTTTAAATTAAAAGTTTTTAATTTACTCAATTAAAAAAAATGAAGTAGGGAAAAGAAAATCATACTTCATGTATGATTTCATATAAAATCACTTGCTTTGGCTCATTCTTAGGGTGGGCAGCCATTTTGAATTGAACCTGATTTGTTCACACATAGAAATCAGAAGGAAAAAAGATTATTGCCTGAACAATTATGTGAATTTAAAGCCCCATTTCTTAAAGACAAAATTAGAGACAAAATAAGTATGGAAATTTATGTTGGTCAGCTAGTAGAAAACAGAAAGCATATGCTTGGGGCAAATGGTGCACTATTCTTATCACATGATTGTATATCCAGTTTATTAAACTAAGATATACACAATCCAATTAAGTTAGAAAATTCCTTTATAAAAAGTTTAAATATTACATTGTTTGGTTAAGTGCTGTTGTGATAGGATATATAGATCAAGCCCATTTCAATTCTCATGTTTGAAAAACTGGTCAGTTTAAGTATCCAGACTGATTCATACTCAATATCCAAATCAATTTGAATCAGTTTGGACTGATTTAGACCAATCAAATGCATGTGTGGATTTCTAATCAACCAGGCACTCCAAATAAATCCTGTTAGGCCCAAATTGACCTGGAACAAATGTCTCTACAGACATACTATTCATAATTGACTATGATTCATCAGTGTTTCAGGTCTGAACCTGACTTCACTTATTCGAGATATCAGGAGTTGTATCCCTATCGCTTGCACAAAGGCATATGTTCTACCCCTAAGCTAGGGCATCTCATACATTGCAATACTGTGACTGCCTAAATTATGGGTGTCAAACTCAGGGCATGATGTTGCCATCACATGATGCATCGTGATGTTTTTCCCCTTTGCGGAACTGGGGTGAGCGTGGCCTGGACATCATGCATCCAGCCCACGAGTCACTAGTTTGACACCCCTGGTAAATGAAGTTATACTAACACATCAGTGGTGGGCTTCAAATTTTTTTAGAACCTCTTCTGTAGGTGTGGCCTGCTTTGTGGGAGTGGCTTGCTGGCCATGTGACTGGGTGGGTGTGGCCAACTTGTAAAATGTGGTGAAACTCATTTAACAACACTCTTGCTTAGNTGAGAAATGTGAGTTTTGCCCACTTTTACAACTTTTCTTGTTCTATTTGTTAAGTGAATCACTGCAGTTGCTAAATTAGCAACATGGTTGTTAAGGGGAACCATTGACTTTGCTTGTCAGTCATAAAAGGAGATCGTATGACTCCGGGACATTGCAACCATCATAAATATGAATTGTCAAGCATCTGAATGTAAATCATGTGACCATGGGGATGTAATGACCATTTTTCACATTATGACCACTGCAGCATCTCCATGGTCATGGGATAAAATTCGGATGCTTGCCAACTGATTCATGTTTATGACAGTTGCAGGGTCTCAAAGTCATGTGATCACTTTTTGTGACCATCTGACAAGCAAAGTCAATTGGGAAACCAGATTCACTTAGCAACCATATTGCTAAGTTAGTAAGGTCAGTGATTCACTTAACAACTGTGGAAAGAAAGGTCATTAAATGGGGCAAAATTTACTTAATAAATGTTTTGCTTAGCAACATAAATTTGGATTGTAAGTTGAGGACTATCTGTACAGCATCCATTCAAGACTCCATAACCTGGTTCAAATCTTCAGATGTTCTTTTGATTTGAGGTCTGCTTTTCTACTTACCTGACACATTCCATCAGCTGGATTGGAGACATGTATTATTATTTGGGATTTACAATGACATTCCAAGCATTCTGCAACAGATTAAAAAAATAAATGTCATGTGATAACTGTGTCAAATTTAAGCTGGCTGTTAAGATACTCGAAGAAAAGAGGGCTTGTGATTTTTCTCAGTGCTCATCTTACTGAGTTGCAAGGTCTGCTCGCTTTACACTACACTTTCCTATTCTTCACAACTAAACCTATCAGTGCATGGGGCCAAGAAAGGTTTTGTTTTTCAGCTAGCTTGTCACAGAGCATGACACTGATTAGGATTCAGAGGAAAAGAAAGAGGAAGAAATTGACTCAGCTGACTTCCATGCCAAAGACAAGAGGAGAACCAAGTCTCCCTGCCCTCAACTACATCATCTTAAGTACATAGTATGTCTACAGGCAGTGAGCATTACAAAAAGGGTGTGATGAAAGAAAGGAGACTATTTATATATTTATTTAACATATGCCTAGGGTACCACAATCCAGAGAGATTCTCAGAATTGAAATGGACTAAAACAGGGTTTTCCCCAGTTGCGATGTATGGTTGTGAAAGTTGATCATAAGGAAGGCTGAGTGCCAAAGAATGGAGGCCCTTGAACTCTGGTGCTGGAGAAGACTGGTGCGAGTCCCTTGGACTGCAAAGTGATCAAACCAGTCAGTCCTAGAGGAGAGCAACCCTGACTGCTCTTTAGAAGGCCAGATCCTGAAGTTGAAACTCAAATACTTTGGCCACCTAATGAGAAGGAAGGACTCACTGAAGAAGATCCTAATGCTGGGAGTGATGGAGGGCAAAAGAAGAAG